CAGAAGAAGGGCTTAGAGGCCTAAGTCTGGGGCCTCTTCCCATTGTCGTGATAACAGGCAGTTCTCCATGATGTCCCTGATATGTATGGTGATTCTAACCAAGTAAATGTTCATTTTCTAGATGCTCTGTTTACATACTGGAACAAGGCTTCAACATCTGAACTTATGGATTTTTTTACAATATCTGAGTGAGTAGTTTTGTCTTTGCTCATTGCTTCTTGGTTTTTCCTGGTGTGAAGAACACTGAAGTCGAGTCAGGGATGTAGTGTAGTGTGTGTTGCATTCGCCCTTACTAAGCTCACTCTTCTAGACCTGACCCCAGCACCTATTTTCAGGGCTTGTGAGCAAGTAGACAGTGACCAGCCTTAAATTACTGCAGATATATGTGTTACAGATGTGACTACTTGTGTGATAGGTCATGTTAATAAAATAGTACAAAATGTGCCCACTGAAGTGAACAGACAGTGGTTCTCTAAGTTGGATTAGTACCCGTATTATCTCATTTTATCTCTTCAGTGTAGGTGTCTGGTTTCTTTTAAGCTCTTTATTTTTAGAAACACATATCTACAATGCCTTATCCAAATTTGCTAGAGATAGATGATTGTTCAAATTCAGAATTGTTTTGCATTTTTGAAAACTTTACATATAGAGTAGTGTATCGTATAATGTCCCAGCAGCATCTTAGGCAACACCCCATAGTCAAACACATTATTACATCTGCAATAAAAACAGAGAGAAAGACATTCTGCACTTTCTTTAAGCAACTTTGTGTCTGTTTCTTTGGGTCATGTCTCACACAAACTTGTGTGGCAACTTGTTTTCAGTCTGTGCATTTTGGAATCCTAAGTGAAAGGCTGTGATCCTGGTCCTCTAACGGGAGGTTGGTTCGTAGTCTTGGTTCATAGACTCGTGGCCACTCACTCTGCTGAGTTAAACAAAGGCATTTCCATGTGGTAAATCAAAATTCAGCACCAGACGATTCATTGTTTTAACTACCTCTTACTAAATGAGTGATTTTTTCCAAATTAGTTTTGTGGATGTATTAAAACAAAGCAAAAAACTACATACTTGATGTCTGTAAAGGACCAGTCCATGAACTTGAGCCAAAAGAGAGAGCTCCTGTAGATATGAATGAGGACGAATAAGCAACTCAGGACAGTAGTACGGTCTCCAGCATATCCTGGAGCCAGCTGCTGTGGGTGAATCTGCCAGCCCTTAGGGACTGACAGGCTCATCAGTCATGATCTTTGTTCTCTGGTCCCCCCCCCCCCC